ATCACTTAATAATTCTCGTGAATTTTCAGTCTTTCCCTTACACAAGACTGAAAGCCTGATATAAATTAGTACCTGACAACCCAATCTATGGCTCGGGTAATCATCCCTTGATGAAGGAGTGAATGAATAAACAAACATATTAATCCTATGCATTTGGTTGTCTTGTTTGCGGTGTTTGCTTTTCGTTCCTTGAATTCCTTGAAAGCCCTGTGACAATAGTGCACGCCAGGACGCGCTGCCCAATGGAAAGGAGGCTTACTTCAGTTCTCGGCTTTCCTCATCAGGCCTCTGGAGCTTCGCTCCCAGCCGCATTCTCTCTCTTGGCGTCATTTTCTGCACTTCAGACAGTGCCTGCAGAGTCTGCAGGTGGATCTTTTTTTGCCTATAAATAACACAAAGGTTCCCCATATGCAACCCATCCAAAACATGCTCAGAAAAATTAGACAAATATTTTACAGAGTATCATTATACACTGCTGAGACAGCAATAGCATCTTGGGACGGGCCAGGCAAAAACTAATAAACTCTGGGTAGGTAACGAGCCAACCAGGACTGGAGTTAATCAGCAATAGTTGTTTTCAAATTATATTTTTGTTTAAAAGCAAATTATGTACTTTCCAAACTCCTGCTTCATTTCATTGCCAATGACTGGTTTTCCATAATAATAAGGCAAATTTAGGATCTTGGCTATTAGAAAGTAAATGGACCAGCAAGTGATTCAACCATGAGGATAAGGACAGAATACAATCTGTTTGGATAGGCAGAGTACTATCCAAAATGAGTCCCCACTACTCATTAGCTCTGTGACCTTGGCCAAGAAAGTGAACCTCAGTTTTCTCATCTATAAAGAATGGCCATGGTATAAAGTAATGCATGCACAATGTCTAATACATTAAAAATTATTCCAAATGGTAGTATTTCCACAACTAAATCTCACTGAATGTCTACTATTTTAACCTTACTACAATAAATATTTTATGGCAGCATGGTATAGCAGTTAATCATGAGGTTAATAATACTTTCTGAGTTCAAATCCTAGCTCTCAGGTTATATGTCCTTGGACGAGTTAATTAAACTCTCCACAATTATAAAAAATTATAGTACCTACTTCATTGGGGTGCTCTGCATTTAAATGAGTTAATTCATGAAAAATGATTGGAACAGAGCCAAGTACATGGTCATTAATCCCCCAAATTAGGCAGCATTATTACATAAGAACCTCTTTTTCAGTTAAGGAAACATGTTCACCCTGACCAAGTATATAAAAGGTGTGTCACAACACTTTCAATGACAATTGCTTCTGTTAGGGCCCAATATTGCACAATGCCTTTTGTACTCAACTCTTTCCTTAAACATTTATAGAAAAACTGTCACAGTCAGCTCTCATATCTCTGGAACATCATCCAAACCAAATCTTCTAAGAGGTGCACAAATTTTCAGGAATAGATATATCTCATATTTTGTAAGACTAAACAGATCTCCTTACAACATAGCCACAGATCTTGAAAATAAGAATGACTAATTGAAACCAATATTTCTTAATGTGAAATACCCACAAACAACTGGATTCTAGCACACTATTAAGTATACATAGTGTCAGACAAACTGTTTCACAATCAAAATGAAAAATGATAACTAAAATTAGTTCAATACTTTTTAAAGATATCCTCTACTGTCACAGCTCTAGTTTCTAAAACAACCAACCTTTCTTAAAAAAATCACCCAAGTAAACAAGAAAAAGTAGCACAAGAAAACAAGGCTATTAGGAGCATGTCCACAAATTTACTCCCATAGGACATAATGAACTTGAATTGCAGATCATACATTATGATCTTTGATATTTCTGATGGACCAGTTCCTTTGGTTTGAATGTGAGGTGGAAACAAGCACGGGGAAGCCAGGAAACCATGGAGCTGGGTGTTAGAGGAGTCTATGAGCTATTAGGCCTTGAACACCAGTCTATCAAGTGTCCCTGTTGTCGCTCCACTGCCTTGCCCATCTCTAGGGAGGGACTGCTATTGTCTTTGCTCATTTTCAATGTCCCAGGACCTCACAACATTCTCCTTCCATAGATACTCTGGCCAGTTAAACAAATGACATATGAAAGCCATTTGTGCTTATGATGGAAGGCTCATTAGCACAAGTACTACTAAGTGTTTGAGATATTCATTTCTCTATACACTTACAAGGCAACTGCAGAGCTGCCCTGCAGATCTATAAGCTGTGCAGTGGTTTAAACTTTTATGATTTCAATTTGCTACCACCTGGGGCAAACGACTTTGGAACGCCACATTTACTGAAGCTTAATCTTGGCAAGAATTAAGTGAATCCTACAATGCTGCATGCAGTCAGCTTAGGTCTAATAGGTATTTTTAAGACTGATGCACTAACATTTACACTGGATGGACTTAAAAAAAAAAAGCAGTTACTTACATGGCATTAACTATATGAGCAGCCTCCTTTTGATAATTCAAATTCTTGTCTTCTAGAGTCATTTCTGAATATCTACACATCAGGTGCTGAAAAGAATAAACAACCCTGTCAAACCTGAAAGGTCCCTCTTTAGCAGTGGATGGGCATAAAACTACTGAGTGCTCTTTCTGCTTTGGAGTGTTACTGGCCATGGCTGGGAGCTTGCAAACAAACTCGCAGATAACTTTTTCTCTCTTTAAAGGGTTACATCAAATGACTTGCCAAAATTACATGGTAAAATTACACTGACAGACACTTTTCTCACCCCACTGCTTTGCATACCTCTGGGGAGGGACTGCTATTGTCTTCTGACAAGAAGATTAAATAGAGATTAAATAGAGCTCCTTCAGCAAAATTATAGCTTTAGTCTTTAAAATCAGTGTCCCTCAGAGTTGTGCACGGTTGTACATCACTGTTCTGAAGTTAGCTAGTATTCTGGGCTCTTGCAAGTTACATCTCCAAGAACACACAGATTTTTCCCACCTTTCAGCCTGTAATGGACAATGTCAACAGTCCCTTGGACCAGGTACAAAATCTAAGGGGACAACAAAAAACTCAGTAGCCAACATAAGTAATACCTGAACCTAGTATAATTTTTAAAAACTCAAAATTAATGCCAAAAAGCCATGAAAAAAGGGGCTTGGCATGGTGGTTAATGACTGTCATTCCAATTACTCAGGAAATAGAAGTAGGAGGATCATAATCCAAGGCTGGCCCAAACAAAATTGCTAGACCCTATCTGAAAAACAAACTAAAAGCAAAACTACTTGGGCATGGCTCAAGTGGCAGAGCACTTGAGTGTGAGGTCCTGAGTTCAACTCCCAGTACTGCCAAAAAAAAAAAAAAATCCATGAAGAATCAAAAGTTTAAATAAAGACAGGGTCCAATCAAGAACTTCCACAATTCTTGTTTACTTGCTTTGTCCTAATCCTGGTCCTGTTGGAGCCTATTTTTAAATTTTTGATGTTTCGTTACCGGGGATTATCAACATTAATTTGGATATTTAAAATAATATTGATTATAAGTTTTTGATGTCCCCTTAAATTTTTCAGAAGACCAAGTGCCTCACTTGCCTCATACCCTTGGGACCTTGTTTTTTTTTTTTTTTTTTTTTCTACATTCACAGTTCACTCTTTCGTTTGTTTTGTTTTGTGCATTCAGAGCCTTTTCAGACCTTCGGTGTGTTTCTGATCACAACAGCTAGCACCTATGTCCCTTTCTCAGAGGACAAACCTTAGGCTGCTGGAGCCTGCTGTGCTTGCACATAGGGAAAACTAGAAGTCAAGGGAGACTTAAGGCTGCCTCTCCATCCCATCTTGCTTTCCCCATGCCCTCCTCGGCTTCCCCTGGGAGCATGTGCCTATACAGCACCTTCCCCTCCAGGTAACCTGGCCTAACTCAGGGCCTTGTACCACCCATTCCTTGGGATTCCAACACTGTTTCTTAGGTCCTTTACGTAGGCTCAATGACATTGAAATGGAACCTGGTCTTTCTTTGACCTCCCTTTCCTTACTTTTACAGTTTCCTCTTTACTTTCATCCCAGTGTTTTTGATTTTTTTCTCTTTTATACCTACTTTTTCCTGGCTATTGGGTTATCTCACTAGCAGTCAAACTTCAAAAGAACAGGAATTGGGCCTGTCCCATGCTGTCCTTTTGGCTTCCCCAGGGCCAGCACAGTGCCTGGCACTAATGAAGGAGAACACAGCAGCAGCATCCTTGCTTCCTTTGCACTCAGAAGTTGGCTACTGATGAAAAGGCAGCTTGTTTTAGAAAGTAGCTGACTGCCTTGTGGTTCCTATTAAAGCTATTCATAAAATCAGAAATTCACCTGAGGAACTAGAATAGCAAAAGCCTGAGAAGATGTGAAAAGAAAGAAAACAAGCCCTCTGTAGAGAGGAGTATTTTCTTCCTTCTTACCACCTGAGGCAGATCTTCTATGTTAAAAACTTTTATCCAAAGGAACATAAAAGTAAGTTCACCTAATCAATAACAAGTTTTATTGAACTATATAATAAAGGAGGGAAAAATGCTAAATGAAGACCCCAGGTCTTAGAATTGCTATTGGTACATTCTTGAGCTAGCAAGGATGTATTTCTAAAGTGTTGAGGTAAGCTCTATCAACCATAAGGGTACACACTGGGTTGAGGCAGAAAGTCAGAGCCCTAACTTCCCATTTCCTTCCAGTGGCGCCAGGGAACCAGAGTTCTTATATTCTCTTTTGCAGAGATTGTACTAAGGTTTCTCTCAGCTTCGTTTAATTCTGCCCCTTCTTTCTGATGGATTCTCCATACATCTCACTCCCACAGCATAGCCTCAAGTCACACACTGTATACATAAATACCTTTGTTCCAGGATCACTCTCATTTTAAATACCTGTAGTTGTTTGTCAATGTAAGGGATTTTTAATATTTCTATAGCAGATGGTCTCAATGAAGGGTTCTTGTTCAACATGCTGTAATGTTCAAAGAGAAAATTATTTTCCAAATGAAGTAAAACATAAATTATTTTAAATGCAATAACATAATTTAAAATTGTTTCTGTGGCGACAGATTTAGTACCTTACCTTTTCATGATAGTGTTTAATTCTCTTGAATATCTCACAGGAAGTGAAGGCGTGTCACCTTCGACAATTTTTAAAACAATGGACAAGAAATTGGAGCCAGTGAATGCCTGCTTCATGCAACACATCTCATACAGCACGCATGCCAGTGACCTGCAGACAAAAGTCAAATAATGCCCTATTTTATATGTGTACAAAATCTCAGAGGTAATGGGGCACTGACAAGGCACTAGTACACATTTCAGTTGTTTGTTTAAAAACTGCAGTTTCATATTCTTCTTGTCCATTTAAATACATGTTTACCAACACACACACACACACACACACACATGACCGTTTTTTCCAAAGGAGAATAAAGAAACCAATAGTCAGCAAGATGTCTATACATAGTAAGGACTCTAAATATTTGATCAATGTAGTAAGAAAATTTTTTATTATCCTCTGTGAGGGGAAAAGAAAATGAAGCTAAATATTGTCTTTCTAAGGCTGTTTTGGTAATGTTATATATGCAAAATAAAATTTTAATTTATTAGTCTAACCTTCCCTCTACTGTGTATCCATGCATTTTGAAAAGGAAACTGGCATTATTTATCTAGTTTTCTGAATATAATCCATTTACAAGTAGGGTGAGAGAGAAGCTACTTGCAGCTCGCATTAAAATGTATAATTCTCCCTTAGGGAATATGCAACAGAAGACTAAAATTCTAGATCAATTTTTTAATCCAATTTGCATGGATTAGCCATGCAAATCAGTAACCTCTAAGCCAGCAGAAAAGTCTTTTTAATAGTTATACATCATAAACAAAGCTAAGGAGTAAATTCCTCCCTGAATTTAGTTTTAAAAAATAACTGTACTCCTAAATCATGGACTATTTTTATCATATTGGCATTATGAATTATGTAACCAGCCAGGTTTTTTATTCTTGCTAATTGTTTAAAAGATTAGAAATAAATTACAATGTGATATTTTATGTAACTTTTAACACTGTATTTAACACAAGGAAGGGTATATGTAAATATAAACACCATAATTTATTTTGTGGTTGCTCATGAAAAGGCACATATATGAGGGAATTCTAGATAAATACTTGTGTAAAGTGGCTGGTACTTTACATTTTACAGAGCACTTTCATATATATGAAACTCAAAGTTTCTCAGTGAAATACAGCTAATATTATATATTCTGCATTTTATCCATAAGGAAATTGCCTCAGAGGTAGGAGGTGGAGGATATGGCTGTTGAATAAGGCATTTTTCTTTCCAAATCCCACATCATTTCAAATTAGAAAGAAGCGTGTTAAAGGAAAAATCACATAACATCAACTAGAACACCAAGGTCAATGTAAACATTATAAATTACAAAAATTATCTGAAGCTCAATATAGTTTGCCTCCATCTTTTAAGACTACGAAACAGTATCTGATATGGTAAAACATACTTAGATTTTTATATCCAGAAAAAATTCCTTCAAATAAGTAAAGTAATGACATTTTTAAACAAACAAAAGCAGATAGTTCATTGCCAGAGAAAAGCATACATAGACAAAAAATCCTCAAAGGGAGTTCATCTAGTAAATAAAAAATGACCCCAAACAGAAACAAGGAGTGCAAGAAGAAATAAAGAATATCAAAAAGCTTATTTTATGAGTATGTATAAATGGATATTTACTCAATGAAATAATATTGACATTATCTTGTGGGATTTAAAATGTACAAAATAAAAGTTTATGACAAAAAAATGCAAAAGACAGAGTAAGGTCCCTGCATTACTAAAAAAGTGGTTGTAGTTATAATTTTTACTCAACAGTAGTAAGTTCAGAGTACATGTTACATTCCCTAGAGTTATCATCAAAAGAATAGTAAAATAATGTATAACTTGTCTATAACAAGTTACTAGAGGGAAAAATTGAATTACAAAAATTTGAAACAAAAGGAAGAAGGAGAGAAAATGAACACAAAAGAAGTAGGACATATTTTTATATGGGGAGCTCAAAAAACTAAATTCCCAAAAAACTAATGACCCAATGAAGAAAAGGGCAAATGAGTCACACAGAGCTTTTACAAAGGCAGAAGTCCAAATGAACAAAAAACACATGAAGAAATGCTCAACATTCCTGGCCATAAAGGAAATGCAAATCAAAAACACATTAAGATTCCACCTCACTCCTGTTAGAATGGCTATCATCAAGAAAACAAACAACAAACAAATGTTGGCAAGGAAAAGGAACCCTCATACACTGTTGGTGGAAATGTAAATTGTTACAATCACTATAGAAAACACAATATGGAGGCTCCTCAGAAAACTAAAAAAGAACACCATATGATCGAGCAATACCACTCCTAGGGATATACCCAAAAAAAAAAAATGTAAGTCAGGTTACAATAAAGACACTTGCACACCCATGTTTGCAGCATTATTCACAATAGCTAAGCTATGGAAACAGTCAAGATGTCTACTACTGATGATAGATTAAGAAAATGTGATATATATACACAATGGAGTTTTCAGCCATCAGAAAGAATGGAAATCATCGCGTCTAAGTAAAATGTATAGAATTTGAGGCCTTCGGAAATTCAGGACAGTCAAGGTGGTACAGGCGAGCGGGACATGGTTCCTTCTCTCTTCACGCCGCGACAACTACCTTCTCCCACACCATTCCTGACACCGTACCAACGCGCCCCACGCCTTATACCACACGGCATTCTCACTCGCCCTCCGCTCAGATCACTTGATCCTACCGAATCAGCCACCCACACCAGTACTCGACTGCTCCGACTAGCATGAGTCCCCGAACTCTCCACACATCATGTCATAAGTTGGAACATAGGCCAGTGCCAGAAATGTAACCACCAAACTAATAAAGACTCATGCTTTCCTAAATGACTTCTCTATCACATGTCTAGACAGACATCCAATGCAGCGAACTAACCAGAGCAACACATTCATGCTTATTCACGCAAAAATCACACGTCTATCACTATTACACCTATCTCCAGCTCATGGCCGGAGCCGGACGTCTTGCACTTCAACGAGCGTTGGCTGACGGGACAAAACAGTGATATACGGAAGTTGACCAGAGGTGCATTCCACTAATCTGGCGTTATCACTCACATGCAATTGTCGCATCTTTTCTACCTGTGAACACGTATCCTAATTCAGCCAGATATGTATCAGTACTTTTAAAACCTGTTGAACCATGCACCATACGAAGCTGCACACTACGTGCCTGAAGGTGACTCAAGAAACAGTAAAATTAAGACTGAGTACTGGCATAATTTCTCAATATATTGGCATCTATCGATGCTGACATATGCACATGGACAAATGTCTGTATGCACATGGAAATGTTACAATGAAACTCCCTATATAGCTATCTCAAACAAACAAAAATTTTTTTTTTTTTTTTGAAAAAGCAGAGAACACGGAGGGGAAAACAAGCCCTGTCTGACCTGTGGAGGGAGAGGATATAAGGAAAGTCTGAAGGAGAATGAATGTACTGGAAATATTATGTACTCATGAATAAAAATGAACTATTTTTGAACACTTATTCCAGGAATGTGGGGAAAGGGAGATAAAAGAAAATGATGGAAGGGGTTGAATGTAACTATGAAGACTGTAAGAACTTTCATAAATATACAATGTACCCCCAATCCAACGATAATATGATAATAAGAAAATGAAATAAAATAAAATTAAACAAAACTGGAAGGGGGAAAACTGAAGTGGGACATTTTGGAATTATATTGATATTAATGGTATCTTTATGAAGTAATTATTTTAAGATATATATATATTATATATGCATATGTATAACTAAAAAGTCAAAACTAAAGTGATTCTCAAAAAAGACATATTTTTAAAGATATTATAAATGAATTAAAATAACAAGCTGACAAATAAAAATATAAATATAATTATATTAAATGTAAAGGTAAACAGTCCAATTTAAAAGATAAGATTATCAAACTGGATTTTTAAGAAACATATGCTGCTCATAAAACAAACTTTAAATATAAGCACACAAGAACATTGAAAAAGTCACACCATGCGAACACTTACTAAAATATTGCTAGTATGGTTATATGAGTAGCAGACAAAGTAGACTTTAAGGCAAGAATACTACTAAGATGATGGACTGATAAAGAAATTAGACCCTCAGAACATATAGCAATTCTAAATTTGTATACACTCAATAACGATGTGTGCGTGTGTGTGTGTGTGTAAGTGTGTAGAGAGGAAACAAATTCTCAATCATGGTGATTCATAATCACATCTCTTTCAATAGCTGACAGAACAAGCAGACATAAAAATTAATAAGGAAAGAGAAAATACATACACCACAATTGCCAACATTGACAAATTAGCATAGAAGCACCAAAACAATGACAAAATTAAAAATCCTACAAAGGACACCTGGAATACTTACCAAAACGACTGCATGGGTTCATAAAAAACACGCTTCAACGGATATCAAGGATCAAAATCTTGAGAGCATATCCTCTGACCACAGAGAAAGTGAGGTAGACATGATAACAGAAGAAATAGCAAGAGGGAGGTGGGAAACCTAGCCTCCAACTGCTTGGAAACTAAGGGACCCACATCTAAATAATCACTTAGGTTAAACAGAAATCACAATAAAATTAGAAGATATTTAAACTGAATGCTAATGAAAGTACAAAAAAGCTACACACTGGAGGCAGATAAGGTAAACAAAGCAAAACTGAAAGCATTAAATGCAGATATTGCAAAGAGAAAAAGGCTTCAATCTATGTTCTAAATCACACTTCTCAATTTAAAAAAAGAATAGCAAATGACCCAAGGAATGTAATTTTTAAAAAGACAAGAAATTAATAAAATCAAAGCAGACTATGAAAATAATCAGTAAAGAACTAAAAATTCAATAGACCTCTAGTAAGAGCGATAAAGAAAACAAACAAAGCCCCAGATAATAGTAGGAGGGCTGGCAGAGTGATTTAAGTGTTAGGGTGCCTGCCTAGCAAGTGTGAGGTCCTGAGTTCAAATCCCACACCAACAGAAAAAAAAAGCCAACACTAGGAATGGAAAAAGGTGCTATGGACCCCACAGGTCATGATTTAGAAAGTACTATTGATGCCATTGCAAATATATTTTCCTTAATAAATTTTATAATTTGG